TGTTTCATCACTAGCCAACCATATGCTAATGGGCATTTAATTGATTCTTGCTTTTTCTCTAGAATAAACAGCACTGCAGTAAATATTTTTGTATTTATAATTTTGGATACTTTTGCGTATGTTTAATTTCCAAAAGTGGGACTGTCCAGTCAGAGGATAGGATTTGTTTAAGTGTTATTAGAATGCCAAGTTACCCTGCAGAAACCATGAGTATTATACAAGTGAAGTATCTCAAGGCATGGTGATACATTTGGAGAGGAGAGCAAAGAAGAACTTTGAACTCACTCAAGCTATGATGTCCTTCTCTGAGAAAGTAGTGGAGGTATGATTAGTTATAAACTAGGGGTAGAAGATATTATGGGCTGCTTCACTGAGGTGGAAACGGGCAAAAAGGATCTTGAATTGACTTGTCTCCTTTGCTTCCATCTTCCAACTAAGCCACTGTAATTTTTTGCCTAAGTTGTAATAATATGTTCTTGGTTAGTCTCCCTGCATCTACGTTTTCCCCTTTCACTTATTTTGTTTGTTATTCCCTTCAATTTTCTACCCATAGACAGTTTCCCTAAGGCAAGGGAAATGGCCTCATTTTGCTCCTTACAAATATTACAGACTTCCCACTGCACTGAAGTAAAATTCTCCCTGAGAGGTTCTACCTTTTGCCATGCTGCAGATGGCCTCTCAGTTATGACATCCTTTTACTGATCATTTTTCTAATACTGTGTTTCAAATACAAGTTTACACTGACACTGAAATTCTTTTCTTCCCTTTAGATTCCTGCTCCAAAGCGAGGAGAAATAGTGAGACAGATTGGTGATGCCTTGAGGGAAAAGATTCAAGTACTGGGAAGCTTGGTAAAGTATTTTTGCAGTAAATATATAACCCTCTGCTTAATAAAACTATCATGCATTTCTGTGAATAAGATTGTGATTTTTAAGGACAACTTACACATTTCAAAAATCTGTAAAAGCAGAGGATAACATGATGGATAGAAACAATTTTTTGGTGTAAAATTCTTTTTTAAGATTTATTTGTTTATGCATACAAAAACTAGGGTACAGGCCTGAAAAGTGTGTGTGTGTGTGTGTGTATGTGTGTGTGGGGGTGGGGTGGGTGGTGGTGAGAGGACTTCTGGTCTGTACCAGAGTTGGGAGCAGAACAGGCAGATCCACTGAAATACACTGCCTCGGGGATTTGCAGGCGAGATAGGAGAGGTCTGCTGTGTTGTTGGGTCACCTCCCTGGCTTGGGATGGAGCTTGTGCTGCAGTGACTGTCATTACTTCAATTATGCACTTTGACTCCTTCACCACCAGAGAGGCCCCTGGTTTAAAAATTCTTTAGATAAATATGAATAAACTGAAATTTATTGGCTTCACAAAATAGTCACAAACCATTTTGTGCCCCCCCCCAATTTAATTGTTTAAAACATGAATTCTGTTGGAAAATACTACTTGACTTTTTATATTTTAGGTGTCTTTGGAGATGGGAAAGATCTTGGTGGAAGGTGTGGGAGAAGTTCAGGAGTATGTGGATATTTGTGATTATGCTGTTGGCTTATCACGGATGATTGGGGGACCCATCTTGCCTTCCGAAAGTAAGCAGTGAATTCAGCTAAGCTGAGATTTGTACAGGGAACTCCAGATAAAAATGCTTTGGCTACAGACTGTTTGCAAGTGAGGAATTGTAATTAGTGCATAAATATTTAAAAATGTCTTCAGTCGCTTCAAGAAATGCCCACTAGACCAGGTGAAAACATCATATCACAAAACTTTCTAACTTTTTTTTTATTAACAATGGTAAAATACAGAGTTGGTGTGGGTGATACAGATTTTTATGGATTTTTAACAATTTGGAAATAATCCAGAGAGCATATATTTAGTATTACTTGTAAGGAATAAGTAAATAACCTGAAAGGTAGCAAAGGTTTATGTATGAAGAGATATTGGTATCAGTAGGAATTAAAAGAAATGAACCTAAGTGTTAAATCCTCATCCAAAGGCTGAACTCCTTTGGTCGTCTGTTACAACTCGTGTATGAAGAGTTCCTTTCTCTAACCCTCACACTATTAGAGGAAGTTTGTATTTACTTATTTTAAATTAATTTTTATGTTTTTTTTTTCTGAGGAAGTGGTATATTCTTATCATGAAATTAAACTGGAATAAAAAGATGAAGGATGAAACACCTCCTAGCCTTTTAGAAATTCCATCATAGCTCCCTGGAACTAGCAAATGTCTCTGATTTCTTATCTATCTTTTTAGAGGTTTTATTCACTTATAGGCAAATAATGTCTTTATGGAAGGCAAATATCAGTTCTGTGCTTTTCCCCTATGTAATGTCTTAGAAATCATTTAATATAACTATAATAATGAGCTTCATTTACTGAATAGATACTATGATTTATTTAACCAGTTCTTGAATAGTGGAAATGTAAGATATTTTCATTTTTATGTTGTTTTACAATGTTGCAAGACCCAACCTTACACTTTGAGGATGTTGCTATGATGCAGTTAAGGATTCATGCAATTTGCAGTGTTTGCAGCGATATTGGAACCAGATAGGTGACTCCAAGTTTTTGCGTCCATTATAACACTGTCCAAATGGGAACAGTGGTTATTTCTGCGTGGCGGAACTATCAAAGGTTGTTATTGTTAATTTGTTTGATTGTCCCAAAATTTCTGTGGTGGGAATTATGATATATTAATGATTTGGAAGAGAAATACTTTTTTTTTTTTTAAAGATTTATTTATTTAAGCATACAGAACTGGGGTACAGGCCAGAGGCTCAAGGGTGGTGAAAGGCTTCACCAGAGACAGAGTGGGGAACAGAACAGGTAGATCAACGAAGTACACTGCTGAGGGGAGCAGCAGGCGGGTCAGGAGAGGTCTGCCACACCATGTGGTCACCTCCGGGGCAGGCGGGAATCGAACTCATGCAGAAGTGTTTTTAGGTCATATTTTTCTATTTCTTATAGTGTTGGAGAAATTTCCCTACTATTTTTTTTTCTTTAAATTTCCCTACTTTTAAGAAAAGTTAGGGGACTCTTAAAATAAAGAGTTAATGTCCTTCATTAGATAGTGATTTCTATTATGCAACAATTTCATGTCTTTTAATGTTTTCCCAGTTGTAAAAGTAACTGCCAAGTTGGAGGGAGTATACAGGTGCAAGCAAATAACTTACTTGCTTTGTTACCTGGTATGATGTCTGCCTCACCAGTTAAAATCTGTGAATTGTTTAATCTAAAAAATGTAGATTATTCTATACAGAGACTGTGGAAAAACTTTGCATTAATTCAGTGAATGATTATAGAGCATCTGCCAGGTGTCAGGTGATCTAATAAATGATGCCTGGTCTATAAGGCATACTTCCTGCCCTCAAGGATTTTATAAATTTATACATTCTTTACACTTTAGACTGGGAAATAAATAAGCAGATAGTTATGAGAGGGTTTGTATTTCAGTGAGGTGGAAATTAAGGACTTAGTCAGCTCCCCAGCTAGCCTTGTGAGGGAGCCAGGAAGGGCTCCCTCTTGACACGTTATTTTGTCTAAGCTCTCCAGGAAAAAAGGGGTGCAGTCATGTGTCAGGGGTAGTGTCATAGCGGAGGATGGGACTGGTGACTATTTGGGGAGCTACTTTGCATAGGCACAGCTGGAGGGTGCAGTATGAGAGTGGTACTGGGGTAGAAAGGAAACCTCAGGAAGGGCATTCCCTTTCCTCAGGGCAGCTGCATCGTGATCTGAACACCAAAGGCTTTGAGCCTTCACAACTGCGAGGAGGGCAAGAGAGGCTCTCCGTTGCCAATAAGACCATGTCCATGGGGATGAAGATCCTAGACTATTAGGAGGCCTGGGAATGAGGCGGAGCAAATGGTGGGTTCCCTGTATCTAGCTGATTGAGCCTGAGTAGAAAGATGGACGACTGGGGGCCCTGCCCTTCCAGGGGTCTATGGCTTTCCTAAGGGCTGTGACCCATCACTCTCCTTGTTAAGGTCTAGCCGCCTTTTTCTGAAGTAGCCCCCTTGTGAGGTAGTTCTAAAGTTTGTATTTACAATACAAATATATGCATTATGTTTTCAGTAATATTGTATGAATGGAATGAATTTGTGCAATTCATTCAATGTACATGTAATTAGAACTTTTTCTTTCCCTGCTGTGAGTGACCCAGGAGAGGTAGGCTGAGGGCTTCAGGAACTCCTTTGCAGAACATGGCGTTCTGAGGGTTAGGACTCCTGTGTCCTGGTGAGGTTCTGCCTTTGGGATCACATTCCCTAAAGCACCTACGGCTCGTCTGAAGGTTCCTGGCTTCCAGATACGAGTAATATGTGCCACTCCCATACAGCGCTCCTATGAGGACCAGACACATGATGGATGTCGTGATGGCTTAGAAGGATGTGTAGTAATAACAGGTTTTGTTGCATGCTGATTAATGTACCACTGTCTCACAACCATGTAAAGTGATCCCCATTCAGGCATCTGGATTTGCCACGGGTGCCACTGCACCTTTGTTCTTTTTAAATTGATCTGCAGTAAGTTAATGGTCAAGCATGTTCCACATGTTCTGTCCTCAGGACCTGGCCATGCGCTCATTGAACAGTGGAATCCTGTCGGTCTGGTTGGAATCATCACTGCATTCAACTTCCCTGTGGCTGTGTACGGCTGGAACAACGCCATCGCCATGATCTGCGGGAACGTCTGCCTTTGGTGAGACTGGAGCATGGTCTCATCTAGTAACATTATAAAAGTAGCCAGTGCTTCCCGAAGTATTTTGGAGCCCTGTTCAGAAACTGAGGACAAAGACCAGATATAGTCTTTATGTACTACATTCCTCTGAACGAAAACTATGTTAACAATAGGACATAGAAGAAGAATTTGTGATAAGTCATCACCTTCTTTTTAAAGTTTGCCCTTTCTTTCCCCCAATTAAAATTTGATAATGAATTCTCAGTGATTTCAGAGGCACTTGACCAGTGTTCTCATTGAATTAAATTGGAAATGAGTGTATTTTATAGGTAACGGAACAGTTGCTTGTTTTCAGCGTTCGCATTCTGTGGAAGAACATAGACGGTCAGCAAAACTAGGAAAATTGTCTTTATCTCCCATTAGTGTTGTACTTATCCTAATGGCTTTTTCCTTTATATATACTCAGAATGTCGACAAAATTCAGGGCACAGCTGGGAGGATTGTGTGGTTCTGTGTTGCCAGAGGGACACAGATTTGCCAGTCTTCTTGTCTGGAAAGGCTCTTGTTTATAGTTTCCTCAGTCTCTCTGTGCCTTCCAGTCAAACTTCATTTTGACAAATTTCTAGTTTACTTGGTATCGGTAATTGGCAGACGTTAATGTAACAGTTCCTAGATCAGTGCAGCAAACAGGTTCAGAATCGTTTGGTGTCCTTTTTTATAGATTTTGTAATCCTATAGGTTTCAGAGACACCAAACTTAAAGAATAGCTTTCTATTTCAGTTGTGTAATTGTACAGACATCTTTTTCCACAAAGACTTTTGCTTTTGCTTGATAATAAAATATATTATTTCTAGCAAATTAAATTTCTCTTTTTTCTCTTTTTAATCTCTAAAGGAAAGGAGCTCCAACAACTTCTCTCATTAGTGTAGCTGTCACAAAGTAAGTATGTGTGGCTTTGTTTTTGCTTAGTATGGATTAATCTTGGAAAGGGTGATCGAAAGACTGGATTTTTAATTTCAGTTGAAAGTGTCCTTTACCTAAGTGTGGAATTTGGGTAACCTCTTTCTTTATGATAATGTTTTCAAAAGAGATTTATTTACTTATGCATATAAGAACTGGGGTACAGGTCACTAGTGTGGGCTAAGAGGGTTCACTAGAAACAAGTGGGGAGCAGAACAGGCAACTCGAGTGAAATACACAACTAAGGGGAGTGGGTGGACTGAGTGGGGGGTGAGACAGGAGAGGTCTGCTGCCCCATGTGGGTCAGCTCCCTGGCCAGGGATTGAACTGCAGTGGCCGTGGATAGCTTCATAGTGCTGAGCTTATTCCCTTGCGACACCAGGTTTTTATATTTTAATATTGTTTGGCAGTGTACAGTACTATTTCATTTAAGGATTTGGAGATTTGAACTTAGAAACATTTTGTCACTTGCAAAATAAAAGTATCTCTAGCGGAGAAGAAATATCCTTGCAATTTAGGGGCTACGTTATAACCATGCAGTTTTTAGACTGTGCCCCTGTTGTTAAGTGACACACAGCTTTCCGAGTTACTGGTAGCTTGCTGAATTTCTTCAAAATAACAGTTACTTTGAATTCATCAGTTAGAGTACAGTGTTTTTTTTTTTTAATATTTTTTTAAGATTTATTTTTATTTATTTATGCATGTAAGAACTAGGTGTAGGTAGGCCAGAGGTGTCGGGGGTGTGAGGAGTCACCAGAGACAGAGTGGAGAGTAGAACAGGCAGGTCCAGTGAAAGGAGCCGTGGGCTAGGGATTGAATTCAGGCTGTAGTGACTGGCGATAAGCTTGATGGCACTGAGACTTTACCCCCTACGCCACCAGGGAGGCTCCCTAGATTACACATTTCTGTCTTTGGGTTGACTTACAGAATTGTCATTTTCTTTTTGTGATAGTATGTTAACCATAATTTTTCATTGTTTGATGGAGTGTGCCACATTAAAGGAACGAGTACCTTATTTAAGTAGGCTTTGTTAATTTTGAATTCCTGAAAGTTCAACAGGTGGGTCTCTAGAACCCTTTTTTGTTTTTCCAGAAGGTGTCACTGTAGCACAGCTTTGTGTTTTTGTTTTCCTTGCACCATTGGCAATGCTAAAGTGGGGAGTACTCACTTTATGAAAAGAAAACGGTTGCAACAGATAGGCATTAGGTATGCCCATGGTTTGGTAGGGAAGTCCTCAGGGGAGAGCCTCAGCGGCCAGTGGCTTAGCTCTTGCTCAAGTCCTGGGACAGACAGCAGTAATGAATTCCTACGGTTCTCTTTACCTCTCTTCTGTTTGTACGACCTCCCTCCAGTCAGGGACGTCTCACTTTGGAAACCAAGTACTGCTGCAGAGCAGCCTCTCCCCACTGCGGCCCCTGCTCCCGGGCACACTTTGTTCACCTTTGATTGTCTGTTTTCTGCTGGTGCAGTCGCGGTGGTTGCTGTCAGGTTCCCCTCGTTGCCTTGGCTCTGTTCTCCAAGGTCCAGTCCACCCACAGATGGATGGAGCTCGCAGATTCCCTTGGGTGACTTACAAAGGCACCTGTGTCTGATGTGCCCTGTTAGATGTAACTTGAAGGGGAGAGGAACAAGCAGTGACTCATGCAGTGATGGTGAGATGCTCACTGGAATGAGATGCTTTTTAAAAATATATAAACTTTAAATAATAAGAATAATGAACAGCCATATACCAGAGACATTTTGTGGGGGTGGAGTGGGGAATGGGATCAAAAACGGGGGTTGGGGGGTGGGGAGGGAAGTGCACGGGATTATGGTGATGGCACATGGATGACTTGGTGATGGGAAACCCTCGGGGATTACAGTTGAGATGGAAAAAAATGTACAAAATGATGTAAAAATAAACTGTTATAATAAAAAATATATATATATAAACTTTAAAGCAAAGAAGAAGTTAATGAACTGTATTGATTATTACACTGTATCAGCACAGATAGGAGGAGACTGATTAAGAAAAAGCTTTGCTTGTTGTCATGCTTTAGAAGGACATTGATTTCCTGACTAAGAGGTTTGGGGTGAAGCCAGCGGTGTTAGACCTGAGATTCTCTAGTGGATTTGGGGTAGGAGATCACAAAAAAAAACCAACAAAAGAAACAAAAGAAAACTGGTGGTCCGCTATTATTTTTCAACCAGATATGTCTAAAATTTGTCAGAAAATACTTGAAAACTGTGATCGCTTGAACTGACCTTTATGTCATTGGAATGTATTCCAAGTTTACCCCTAAATCTTTAAGTATTCAATTGCTCCTTTACTTAGTATTGCTCTTTCTTTCTAGGATAATTGCCAAGGTTCTGGAAGACAACAAACTGCCTGGTGCTATCTGTTCTCTGACTTGCGGTGGAGCAGATATTGGGTACGTTCAGATATTGAGGTGTCTTTCTGTTGAAGGTCTCCGGTTAATTGTCTGAAATCATTCATATTCACTAGAATAACAGTTTAAAACCAGCTTAACTACTGAGGTAAGAATGGTTCATTGGAATCATGTGGACCTTCTTGGGTTTCCACTTTATTAATGTTACAGCTTACTTTTTATTTTTTAGCTGTCGAGAGCTATTTGTAAAATGATAGACTTCCTTCACAGAGGACAGTACATGGTTCCCTGACTCTTGATTTACCAGGTGCCTGTTAGCAAGATGATGCTGTGGGGTTGTAATCTGGCGTTAGCTCCCCTCTGAGAGAACCTAGCCTAGGGTTGCTTCTTCATCTCACCAAAAGAGGGAACCCTAGGAATGCAGCCTACCTCTCCCTCTCTCTCATTTTTTTCTTACTGCTGTTTTATTGAAAATCACATATAATTTATATAACATGTAATGTTTAAAAATGTCCAACTCAGTGGCTTTAGAATGTCCACAGTGTTGTGTAAATGCTAATCTAGGACATTTTCTTGTTCCAAAAAGGGAACCTATACTCATTAGCAGTCATTTCCAATTCCTCCATCCCCCAGGGAATCAGTAGCCTGATTTCTGTCTGTATAGATTTGTGTATTTGGAACATTTCATATAAATGGAATCACACAACGTTTGACCTTGTGCATCTGGCATTGTTCTTGTGTGTGATGTAGTACAATGGTATAACCTTTTAAAGCTGGAAGTGACTGTCATTGCTCTGAACCATGAAGAACCATGAAGAGAGCTTGATGTGGCTTAGTCTTTGATAGGGTGAGGTTTCAAAGGATTCTAGCCTTGTAACCTGTACTGGCGTGGTTAAAATATTAGTCTCCTTCCACTTTTATCTTGTACTTTTCTTACTGGGCAGTCTCACAATGAAGCATCATGTTACTCCTTTTTTTCACAGAAATGAGGAAGTATTAGAAAATATAACTCCTGTAGAGCGAGTATGTGTTAGCCACTTGTCATTAAAAACTTGAGTACTCTGTCTTTTCACCCACTATATTCTTGCACTTTGGGCTTCCAATCATACTCTGAAAATAGCTCAAATATGCACAGTAGTGTACACAGGATTGTGTACACAGCATTGCATTAAGCAATAGCTACCTTTAGCGTCAGTGTTCATGTTTGCTGGGCTGCACATACAGAGGCCTGCATGGGTGATTTCATCAGACTGTTCCCTAACATTAGACAGTGCTGTTTGGCCCTCATCAAGCGCGTTAAAACATTGACCTATGAACAGAGGGCTTCCAATCAGTTGTGTCTAATCTACATTCTGTAGAAGCAGCTGGAAATCCTAACACAGTCTTTTATAAGTACTATTATGAGTAGTACTTAGGATGTTATTATTTTTTAAAGGAATTAGTAGTTTAAGAGTCTGCAAAAATAACTGAAATGCTTATCACGGAAAAATTAAGGTCTGTTATCCACTCACCCCTGCAGTATAGGAAAGGTTTTTCTTCCTTAGCTCTGTCA